GCTTTCGGCGCCAACATATGCTAATTTTGAGGGGGGGGAGCGCGCCGAATAAACGTGATTTTTTGGTTAAAACTTTCCAAAAAGTGTTTAAGAACGTCTTTTTTGGCCCGTTTTTTCAAAATTTTGGCTGTGGCGCATGAAATTTTTGTCAAAAAGCGCCTTTTTAGTGCTTTCGGAGAGCTCGGAAAATCAATTTGGTCGACAAAATTTTTGTTTTTTTTGTTGAAATTCCGCCCCCCCCCCCCCTCGAGAAAATCCTAGATCCGCCTCTGAAGATACTCATAAGTTGTCGGTTTGAAGTTCTGAACTTTTCACCGTGTCTTGTACTCAGACAGCGATAGCGCTTAAAGTTCCCGGATAGTTTTACCCTCCTATCTCCCCCAACGAAGCCACTCTAGGGTTACTGGTGATACAAATTTTCATTCTGACAAGTGAAGGTGCTCAGGAATTTTGTCGATGGGAGTCTCCAGAAAAATTGTATTTGAAAAGATGCTTCTCGTCTTACCAACGTTTTGAGCAGATGATCTCCATTGCGAATTGATGTATAACGAAAAAGGAAACAACACATCTTATGGCTTTAAGCGCAACTTGCTGAAAGAATTAAAATGGTTTACATAGTGTCTTTTGTTATTCGGCATGGAAGTGGAACTTGAACTATTGTCTATGGATTTATGAGTTAATATGTCACAAAAGAGAGATGTTCACAAAACCATTTTATTTATGCTGGAACGGTACAGCACCATGTGGCGAGGAATTATCAGCAAAGCGCTTGTGAAGCAAAAAGTTTAAGTTCAGTTGAAGTCGATAAATGGTCGGTATCTACTTTTCTTTTTGGAAAATTTTTTTACAAGCTTTTTCTACAATTATGAATGAGTAAGAAATGAAAAAAAGAGGCTTTTATCCTGGTTCTCTTATTTTAATCGATATCAAGGATTTGGACGCATTTTAATTGATATATCAATCAATCATTAAGTCAAAAGGCTGAGCCCAAAATTATTAAAACGCCAATTGCTGTTGTGTTTTCCTTGTTATATCCCAATGAGTGAAACTACGTCAAATTCGGTTAGCAAGGCTGAAAGAACGTTGAAGTTGCCCAAAAATAAAATCTGAGAGCTGTTGTTGAAAACAAACCAAATTAACTGACAAAAACAGCGGACAAAAAAACTATTATTTCAAAAATACTATAAATACTGGTGTTATTGTCTTAACTTTTGGAGACAAAAATTCAGTCATCACTAGCAGGGTCGTTGTGTCAGACAAAACTGTAAAAAAGTTTACAAATTTTGTAACTCACTGTAATTGTATCCCGGAGTAATTTGAAAAATAAATTTACGCAAACTTGCCTTAGAAAACTTTTCAAAGGACGCTTGGTCGAAAAAGGATATACGAATAGACTTGTCACAATATTATTTTTTTGTCAATTTTTTATTAGTAGTAAAGGTCATCATTGAGTATTAGTTGCGACTTATTGACCTTGCCAATTTTAACATTGACTTATTGACATTGCTCGTATATCAGGGCAAAATATATCTTAATTCATATCGAATAGTTTCTGAAAACAATTTTTTTGAAAAACTAAAAATTTTAGACATTATCAAAGATCAAGTGTAAAAATTTGAGTCGTACAAGTTTATACGACCAATTAACAAGAGTCAATTCAATTTGAAACAATTTTGTTGTGCGAGATGACGCGCCACGCATAAATAACTTGCGTTACGTTTTCAGGATTGTGGATAAAATCTACAAATCGTGCGTAAATAAGTCCAGAGCATGGCCAATTTGGCATTTTTCAAGCTCCTTAAAATTTGAAAAGTAATCGCAATAAAAATTTTTTTTGGATTTGATTTCAAAGATTCGATATCTTCAAAGGGGCAAAAATAGCAAAGTTTAAAATCTCAAATTTATATGGAAGATAAGTTAGGGCAAATTAGGATAAGTTGTTAAATTGAGCGCCAATTTTGACAATTTTTTTCATGGCAACAGTTAAGTACTGATATTTTTTTGCTTGAAACAAAAAATAATATTAGCATTTTTTTTTCTGTTGAGACGAAAAATCTTGCTGTAATCTTTCCATAGTTGATTATTTTAACCGCTTTTTATGGTTTTTAGAATAAAGTCTTATATAGTTTTTTTAAGCCCGAATGCAAAATGGGCTTTAACATGAAATTATTCCAAAATTCACTTATGCGCACTTTGCTGAAAGAATTGAAATGGTTTACTTAGAGTCTTTTCTTCTTCGGCATGGAGGTAGAAATTGAACTAATGTCTATGGATTTATGAGTTAATATGTCACAAAATAGAGATGTTCACAAAACCGTTTTATTCATGCTGGAAATGGTACAGCACCATTTGGCAAAGAATTATCAGCAAATCGCTGGTGAAGCAAAAAATTTAAGTTCAGTTGAAGCCGTTAATTGCTCGGTATCTTTTTTTATTTTTGTAAAATTTTTTACAGAGTATTTTGAAAATTTTTAATGAGTATGAAATGAAAAAATAGAAGCTTATATCCTGGTTCTCTGACTTTAATCAATATCAACAATTTGGATGCATTTAATTCATACATCAATCAATCATTCAGTCAGAAGGCTGAGCCCAAAAGTATTAAAACGCCAATTGCTGTTGTTTTTTCCTTGTTATATCCCAATGAGTGAAACTACGTCAATTTCGGTTAGCAAGGCTGAAAGAATGCTGAAGATGCCCAAAAAAAATCTGAGAGCTGTTGTTGACAACAAACTAAGTTAACTGACAAAAACAGCTGACAAAAAAACTATTATTTTAAAAACTTTATAAATACTGGTGTTGTCTTATTTTATGGAGCCAAAAATTAAATCATCTTTAGCAAGGTCGTTGTTTCAGAACAAACTGTTAAAAATATACAAGTTTTGGTAATTCACTATAATTGTTTTATGGAGAAAAATGAAGTTTGGAAAATATATCTAGGTAAATTTGCCTTACAAAACTTTTTAAAGGACGCTTGGCCGAAAAAGGCTATGCCAATAGATTACTTATAATGTTTTCATTTTGTTTCTCATATTGGTTTTATTTTAGATGAAAAACTATGGCGACAAAATTTGTTTGGGATTTTAGCAGAAAGTAAATGAAACAATTTGTTTTGTAAAATTCGGAAAAACATTTTTTACCTCAAAAACGGATCATTTTTGGCTTTTTTAGTCAATCAAAAGTTAGGCCAAGACTACCGAGGCAATTAATGACAAAATTATTAAAACGCCAGTTGCTGTTGTTTTTTCCTTGTTATATCCCAATGAGTGAAACTACGTCAATTTCGGTTAGCAAGGCTGAAAGAATGCTGAAGATGCCCAAAAAAAATCTGAGAGCTGTTGTTGACAACAAACTAAGTTAACTGAAAAAAACAGCTGACAAAAAAAATATTATTTTAAAAATTTTATAAATACTGGTGTTGTCTTATTTTATGGAGCCAAAAATTAAATCATCTTTAGCAAGGTCGTTGTTTCAGAACAAACTGTTAAAAATATACAAGTTTTGGTAATTCACTATAATTGTTTTATGGAGAAAAATGAAGTTTGGAAAATATATCTAGGTAAATTTGCCTTACAAAACTTTTTAAAGGACGCTTGGCCGAAAAAGGCTATGCCAATAGATTACTTATAATGTTTTCATTTTGTTTCTCATATTGGTTTTATTTTAGATGAAAAACTATGGCGACAAAATTTGTTTGGGATTTTAGCAGAAAGTAAATGAAACAATTTGTTTTTGTAAAATTCGGACAAAAATTTTTTACCTCAAAAACGGATCATTTTTGGCTTTTTTAGTCAATCAAAAGTTAGGCCAAGACTACCGAGGCAATTAATGACAAAATTATTAAAACGCCAATTGCTTTTGTTTTTTCCTTGTTATATCCCAATGAGTGAAACTACGTCAATTTCGGTTAGCAAGGCTGAAAGAATGCTGAAGATGCCCAAAAAAAATCTGAGAGCTGTTGTTGACAACAAACTAAGTTAACTGACAAAAACAGCTGACAAAAAAACTATTATTTTAAAAATTTTATAAATACTGGTGTTGTCTTATTTTATGGAGCCAAAAATTAAATCATCTTTAGCAAGGTCGTTGTTTCAGAACAAACTGTTAAAAATATACAAGTTTTGGTAATTCACTATAATTGTTTTATGGAGAAAAATGAAGTTTGGAAAATATATCTAGGTAAATTTGCCTTACAAAACTTTTTAAAGGACGCTTGGCCGAAAAAGGCTATGCCAATAGATTACTTATAATGTTTTCATTTTGTTTCTCATATTGGTTTTATTTTAGATGAAAAACTATGGCGACAAAATTTGTTTGGGATTTTAGCAGAAAGTAAATGAAACAATTTGTTTTGTAAAATTCGGACAAAAATTTTTTACCTCAAAAACGGATCATTTTTGGCTTTTTTAGTCAATCAAAAGTTAGGCCAACACTACCGAGGCAATTAATGACAAAATTATGTCAAAGAGAGTCTCTTACGTAGCTCAACAAAGTTTAAAATTATGATTTTTTCATTTTTGTTTGATAGCCAAAAATGCTATTTTACAAATTGAAACACCCTTTTTTGTTTGAAAACAATTTTGGAGTTTATACCCTCCTTAAACTTTGTTGCGCATCAAACAAGACTCATTTGTTCTATAAATGCTTCAAAAATTTAATTGGTAGGTTTGGCTGATCCATTTTTGGGGTAAAATTTTGGCCCGTGTTTCGCAGAACAAATTGCATCATATTAATTCTGTTTAAATTCTTAGCAAGTTTTTTCTCCATCAGTTCTCACCTAAGCTCAGCCCAGTTTGAGAAATAAAGTGTTTTAAATTTCAAGTTTTACGCTGCGTTTTTTTCGGATAATGTAAATCAGGACTGTATTCGGCCACTTTATCCATAGGTCAACATGCAAAACATTAAATGTTGCTGTTCAATTTTGTTTTTTACAGTACGATTTGGATATCCAAGACATCTCGGTAATTGACATGATTGTTTTTCCTCAAGTCGGGGCCTACCTTTGTAGCATGTTGAGACGGTTTTTTATCGAGCAAATCCTCGGTATAACTTTTTATAATGCAAAGACGATTTTCAATGCAACCAAAAAATTCCAATAAAATAGAATCAAAACTTGCTCACAACTGAAAACCGAAAAACTTGTATGAGAAAAAATTATTTCATATGTTAGTGATACAATTCAGAAAATCACACTCTATAAAACAAAGAGTCTCGCGACTTAATGAAAACAAGGTCACAGGTCAAAAAAACGCAGTAAGAGAGCGATTAGAAATCGATGCAACGCTCAATTTATCTTCATCCATTGAAATAAATGAATGACAAATTATCAAATTGCGATAAGATAAGGAGATTAAAAAGCAGCCTCGAAGGTTTTAAACTCCCATTTCTGGGCTAATGTAACACAAATGGTGTGCGCAGAACGACCATTAGTGACGCGGAAAAATATGCAGCAACAACGTGAAAAAATAAGGGAAAGGAAAGTTAATTGGTGCAAATGCGTTTATAGAATGTTCTCTCATTTCCGTTCTCAGTCTAAAAAGAAAACCTACCTTTTTTTCTTTTTCTTTGTCAGTCCAAAATGAGGAGCGAGCGGTTTTGGGAATTGGAGAATGGTAATTGGGACTAACTTACTACCCTCCTCTACTTTAGATACCACGCGAAACTGTGCATAATTTGGCAGTGGTAAGATTTGAGTGCAACTCAAGACTGTAAAAAGCCGATATTATAGAGACAAAGTGTTCAAAATTGGCTGTATGCCATTCAAAAAAGAAGCCTCATTTTCACACAAGGAAGAAAGAATCAAATCAGGCCAAGCCATAAAGCTGTGGGCACTTTTTCTATCTATATGATTTTAAAAATTCATCCAGATGAACCCGACATCAGCGGATTTCTAAATTGGGCTATATCACATTATAAAGGGGCTATATTAGGATTACGCGCAATTCTTCTTTCACTTTTTTGTTGACCTTAGTTTTTAGTACGTGAACAGAATATAGCAACAAAGAGAGCAGTTTTCTAAAAAATGACATCACGCATCATTCGAACTCGCGAAAATGATGAGCCAAACTGAGCCAAATAATTAGGGCTGGGTCAATTCAACCCAATTGGAATTTTCAACACTCTGTCCGTGACTTGACTTTTGATTTCCACAGACGCTCAAATAGAATTTGATCGGGGAGTTTATTTGATTGCACATTGAAGCAGCTTCAGGCGCCTTAGGATACCGCTTCATTCCTATTTGAATCAAGATTAGCCAGCTATTTTGTAGGAAGCTCGAAAGAGCCCAACTGGGATCATTATAGCAATTTAATTAAGAAAATTTTTCATTTTTTGGAGACAGAGACTGGGCGAGAAATATCAATAATAACAGCTATGGAACTTAATCTAGTATAACTAATAGCTTACTGTACCAAAATTGTAGTTTATCTGGTAAGAAATAACCTCGTAGCTCGAAGTTGTAGTTTTATGACCAGAGGGTCGCGACCAAACTTTGATATTGCCAGATTGTCGCGACCAAAATTGGATATTTCCAAACCGCCGCGACCAAAGTTTGGTTTTTCCAGACTTTGCGGACCGAGGAAAAACCGGCGCGACCGAAGGAATATTAACCACAACCGGCGCGACCAACGGAAAGTTAACCGCGACCGGCGTGACTGAATGAAAGTTAACCGCGATCCGCGCGACCGCAAAAAAAAAGTTATTTGATTGCGCATTGAAGCAGCTTAGTGCGCATTTTGCATACCGCCTGAATCCTATTTGAAGCAATATTAGCCAGCTATTTTGCAGGAAGCTCGAATGGGCCCAACTGGGATCATTATGGCAATTTATTCAAGAAAAATCATTTTCATTTTTTGGAGACATAGACTGGGCGAGAAATATGAATACTAACAGCTATGGAACTTAATCTAGAATAACTATTAGCTTACTGTAACAAAAATTGTAGCTTATCTGGTAAATAAATAACCACCTTGGTCGAGGTTGTACTTTATGACCAGAGGGTTGCGCCCAAATTTTCAAATTTCCAGGCTGCCGCGACCAAAAATGGATATTTCCATGCAGCCTCGACCAAAGTTTGGTAATTTCAGACTTTGCAGATCGACCCAATGTGTTCGCTACCGGCGCCGCCAAAGTAATATTAACCACGATCGGCTCGACCGAAGAAAAATTAACGTCAATCGGCGCGACCAACAGCAATTGAGGAAAATGAACAGCAATCGGGGAAAAACGAATGCAAAATTGCGCTTCCAAAGAGCTCGATACAATTAAAACAATCGTTCGAGGATTTTTTTCAACCGAAAAAAAAACGATTTTCAAAAAAATTGAAGATGAGCACAAACCGACTGTGTTTGGCCGAGGAGCGTAAGTTTGTATCTATGTATATATGTATGTGTGTATGTATGTATGTTTGTATGTATGTATGTATGTATGTATGTATGTATGTATGTATGTATGTATGTATGTATGTATGTATGGATGTATGTGGGGATGTATGTATGTATG